TGGTTGTGCGGTCCAAGGAGGAAGAAAGCGGCCATAGCCGCGGAGCTCGGACAAGGAGAAAGGAGGCAAGAAGACGAACGAGAGAGGAGGGAGAGGCGAAAGAGAAGAGAGAAGCCATAGTTGAGGAAGAGGAAGGAGGGACAAAGAAGAAGAGGGAAGACATAACCAGGGTGAAGGAAGAGCAAGGCGAGGTAGGAGAAAGAAAGGAGGAAGAAGAAGAAGGGTGGTGAGGAAGAAGAAGGCGGCACAAATGGATAATGGGCCCCCCATTTTCAGACCCTGGGTAACGAAAAAACATATAAAACAGCAAGGCAAAAGTGCATTTTCCTGCGTACAGATCCGGGCCGCCCGGCCGGCCGGCGCCTGCCCGGGGGAGGTCCTGGGCGGCCTGGCCGGGCGGGCGGCCCGGTTGGGGGCCGGGCCCCCCCAGCACACCTTGTTGGCGGGGGGGTTCCGGCCCTGAATCAGCGAGATTTCGCCTCCCCAGGGCCTACCGGGTCCGACCACGCCGAGAAAACAGCGCGTCGGGCCCGTGAGGCCTGCTTTTGTTTTTCTTAATTTGGGACGACCCTCTGGCCGTCGATCATCCAGGGCCGTTCGTTTTTGGAGGGAAAACCGAGGCCCCGTTTGAACAAGCGACTGGCTAAGGCGGCCTGCATTGGCTGTCCAAACGGGGCCTCGATACCTGCTCCAGCCACCTGTGTTTGTCGTCGAGTTGCTTGTCATCGAAGTAGCTGCCCCTCGTCGCCATCACCTGGGAGCTTCACTCGCCCGTCGTCGTCGAGTCGCCCGTCGCCCGTCGCCAGCGTCGTCGATCGTGGTGCTCCTGCCTGCCGACAACCCCTGCCGCCCATCGACGTGGAGTGCCGGTCTGTTCTTCTTCTTCTTCTTTTTCTTCTTCTTCTTCTTCTTCTTCTTCTTCTTCTTCTTCTTCTTCTTCTTCTTCTTCTTCTTCCCTCCTCCTCCTCCTCCGCTCATTCTTCGGCTTCTTCTTCTCTCCTCCTCCTCCTCCCCCTCTCATCTTTTTCGTCTTCTTCTTCTTCTTCTTCTTCTTCTTCTTCTTCTTCTTCTTCTTCCTCTTATACCTCTTCTGTTTTTCTTCTTCCACGACTCCTTCACTCCTCCTCCTCCTCCCCCTCTCATCTTATTCTTCATTTTCTTCTTCATCTCTCGTCGTTGTCCTCCCCCTCATCTTCTTCTTCTTATTTTTCTCTCCTCCTCCTCCTCTTCCGACTATCTTCTTTTTCTTTTTTTTTTTACATTCGCTAGCGATAGGTCG